GCAGCAGCAATATTCTGGAATCCGAAGATCGTGTGAAAATAAAGGAACAACTACAACAACGACTGAATGTAATGAATGTGTTTCTCTAGCAGATTAAAATTGAAAAAAACTCCATATGATAGCGCCTGGTATTTACCTTGCAAATTTTGCCTTTACGAGGCATAATTCATTTCTTAATCATATTTTGAATTTGTATAATTTTTTGATGATATCTTTGATTTATCTAATGTCAATTTTTAACAACGCACTCTATTATCATACATTTATTTGAAATGATTTTAATATCTTAGTTTATATACTATTATAATATTAATATTATATATACTACAATATATTTACTGCAATATATATACATATATATATATATATATATATATATATATATATATATTTTCTATACGTTCTTATATCTGAAAGACGCTTTGATATTTTTGTGGCCGTGATAATTAACATTATAGTATTACTAAATTATATGAAACGAAGCTGTCAACATGAAAAAAACAGTGAATTATTATTATTTTGAAACCGTAGGCCTATAACATTTTTAGCTTTAGATATATTATTTATTGAATAACACATTTCTTACACGTTTTTGATATGTTTTACTCTATTTTTGTGTTTTATAGACCTCTACACAATTCTATGTATTCGTGTTTGGTTTACATTTCAGTATTAATAAATCTAAAATTGCGAGACTTATGTTCAATTATTTCATATTTTCTTTAATATCAAATCTTTAGATATTAGTTAAAATGCACAAAAGGCATTCTTTATAAATGTACAGAGTTGCCATAATAATATGATTCCCCTAAGAAGTGCCTAGTTTAAAACTTTCAAATTTCATACGTTGCCAAGAGACCCCGATCTCTATATCACGCGCAGTGTGTGTGTGTGTGTGGGGGGNTCTCTCTCTTGCTTCTTTATCCCACACGTGCACTAATCTGTCAAAGAAACCCTCAAATACATGGATTTAGAAACCCTTTCCCGCCTTAATCCCCCTAAATCTCCTTTCTACTTCAATCAGAATTTTTATGCCTGAATTCCGGTTAAAAAACTGAAAATTAAGTATGTCACCGAAACAAGAAGCACCAACCTTAACATCGAAAGAGTGTTAATAAAAATGTCATATTTATTTAACAAGATTTTATCGTTAAAGCAGATATATAGGGCGTGAATTTAAAGTGGACTGGGGCAAACCAAAAGAGAGAGAGAGAGAGAGAGTGAAAGTGATATATATATATATATATATATATATATATATATATATATATATATATATATATATATATATATGGACAGAGATTTCCCCTTAGTCCCCCGTTCCCTGCACTTATGTAGGGGTGGGCAAATGAAAGCTTTTTTGGGAAATTTAATTTCAGACAAGTGGATTATGAGGCCATTTTGGCTGCTGAATACAAAATTAATAAGTATTTTCGTTCTAAATTACATCTGATATTGGTATCAAGCGATTTTTCAAAATGGCCACCAAACGCTCCCTCAAATCACATATTTCTCATGTAAATCTTTAAATATCAATTCAATGATTGTGTCAGCGACAGTTACTCAACTTCCCTACTTAATGAACTCTACCAATAGTGAACGCATTCAACACCGTACCTGAGCAGATTTTGCATCCAGCTGCTATATAAGCTGGACGTTTTCTACAGCGGTATGCAGTGCGGCATCGACACACTCCGACGACCACAGCTTGTAGCAACGACAGGCGGCTCGACAGCAGCGGTTCACTCCAGCGCCTCGCACCGGCCTACGACTCCGCGGTCACCCCGGCGGCTCGACAGCAGCGGTTCTCTCCAGCGCCTCGCACCGGCCTACGACTCCGCGGTCACCCCGGCGNGATTGCTTGTATTGTTATATGTCTAACCAAATGATTTCATGATCAATGAGCGCAAATAGATACATCATTTCGGTTGGGTCATTTCATTTTGGGTTAAGAAGAGGATTTTTTAGTCAATTTGAGGTAAAAAAATCACCCCCAAATCACTATTTCTGTGTACCTAAATACAAATGTTTATATGCAACTGTGGCTTTTAAATTAGGAAAAAAACAATAATACAACAAATATGGTCAATATTGTTCAAGGATCACATGAAACTGAAAAGTTTTGACATATAGAATAGGCATAATGTTAGTTACATACGGGAATATTTACAGTAGAACACTCAGTAGCAGAGCATTAAGGATATTATTACTCTATATTACCATCCAGATACCGAAAATGAGAATTTATTTATCATCTAAAAAAATGTATGTAAGGCAGTAAATAAGGAGTTTTGGGTGAACGGTGACAATATCCTTATTGCCTTCATTTATAACCTAGTCACACTAGAGGCGGAATGAGCTAGAATGTAGTCGGAATGAAAATTTCTTGTTTATTCCTGGATATTTGAAGTATCTAAAAATTCTAAGCGCATTCTATATGTTTGGGTCCATTCTTGCGTCCTGTTCAAATGTTTTGCTCATGCTCAAAACTTTCGAAGTGCATATCAAGTGGAAAAATATCGAATGGCATTCAAGTGTATTCTAACTGCACTATGAGCGCATTCTTAAGATTCTTACGGAATTCCAACAGCATTCGAAACATTTTGATCGCATTCGAGGGAGAACCGAAAAGGCAAGACGCTTCAAATCTTGTCAGAATGTTCCACATTGTGCCTCCAATGAGCAGTATTGCAACTCGAATGCATCTTGATTGCAGGCCTGAATTCAGCCAGCAATGAAACCACACTTGTATGGCATTCGAAGTGCATTCTAAATATTCTCACTATATTTAGACAGCATTAACGATATTCCTAATGTGTTCCAACTACATTCGAGCTGCATTTGAGAGCTAATACAATACAACCGAAAAGTGCACGAATCATTCCAGGTGGGTTCGAAGCGCATTCTGAGGTATTCTTACAGGAATTAAGGTCAATTTGATATATTGCCCAACGAATGTGGCACGAGTTTTGAAAATTCTTCATTACGGCTCATTCTGCTTGATTTCTTCCGATTCCAAATAAGTGTGACAGGGGGCTTTACAGTGCCTTTTGGTCTCAGTGTATTTCTTGTTGATGCTTTCATGGTGGGGGTGAGATAGTACTCTTAAACTACGCAACTGAAACTAAGGGCTATTCCAAGGTCAAGAGCTTAGAGGTTGTAAGAGGTTGACGTCACCTAAAAAAGTTTTACCTGTTCTGAAGAAAAGGAAAATTATACAGCATAACATTTTTTGGTACACATCCATGAAGGTATTTTCAGCATTGTTGTTATACCAAACTGTTATCCATGAATTCAGTATGTACATAATGGCCATTATTTGTATTTATCTTAGGCTCGAAGTCTGTATTGTATGTATATGTTTGTTTTAAATAAGATATTTTTTACAGATGTCACCCTACCAATATTGCCAATGTCTTGAATATGCTAATATTTGAACTCAGCAAGCCTCAAAACATAGAAAGACATATATTACACATCATTTTTATGTACTTTACTGTGAAAATATGGCCAAAAAGCCATTTCCCACCTTTTTTCACAAACAAATAGCAGGTACCAATATAAATCTTTAGCTTTGGTAAAAAATATTGTCAGATTTGTGTTCAGCAGCACAAATGGCCATAGAATCCACCTGTTTTAAAAAAAATTGTCATTTGCCCACCCGTTATGAGTGGAGTGGGTGAAAATGCCTATACGTTTAATTAAAAACATTGACGGTAAATTATGACAATCTATGTATCATATAGTGATAGAATAAAACCACTGCAATGGAGAGGAATTGTTCCTTTGATTGATGAATTGCTCCTATGATTGATTAAGTATAAAAAACGTTTGGAGTTGTTACAAAAAATGATATTATTAAGAAAATTATAGTAACATTGAAGGCAATTACCATGTATCTAGTTTTCGACTTTTTAAAATCTATTTAGCAAATGTTGTAAACATAACAAATGTTGTAAAACAGCAAGTTTTTTTAAATGAAAAGTAACATCAGCTGTAGCTCGCAGGGGCCACAGAAAATGACGAGGCAAATGACAACAGGCATATTACTTGAGCTTTATTTGAAATAGTCTCACGTTGAAACAGTCGTGTAGCTAAAACAAAGAAAATACAATTGTTACTTATTTGTCTAGTTGGTATCACCACTTACTTCTCACATAACATCTGAGTTTATGAAAATACAATTATCAACTTGGTTATTAATTAAGAAAACTATATAATGTAAACAGAGAAATACTGGTAATATACATTATGTACAAAATTGACATAAACATCTTACCATTATGCCTCTACTGGGTAAATACATAAATAATGCCACTGCATTTCTGCACCTCTGCACTTCTGCACTCCTCTGCAGCACACACCTAACTGACCCACACTCTCCTGGGTGTGACAACTAGGACTGTTCACTTATGCTAATGAGGTCCTTTTATTAAAGGAATGTGATAGATGTGCTTGCTCAGCATATCTGATGCAATAAACCATAAACTTTGATACAATCATTTTTGTTCTTACATCAGCTATGCAATTTCGAATAAACTAAAGCATTTCTGTCCATCACTTGAGAAGTAAACTGATCCGTTCCACCCAATATATATATAGTCTGCTCTCAGTCGGACGTCATCAGCAGTGGTCCCGTAACAGGTGTTACAATTTACTAGCAGCCACCCAGAACTCATGATGCAATACTGGCATAATCAAATGTAATCAGGAGAGAATTATAGGTATCGTGTATCCGTGTTTATATCTACTTAGGTTGGATTGCATGCATTATTATGACAACAAAGCAGGCATGACACCCGGCGTCACCTGCGAGCTCTATATTTAGTAAAGCAAAAAGGCACCTCCATTTTATACATTGTAGTCGTGTGTTTTACAGTGCGGGTAAACATACAGGTAAAAAGCACCACTGTACCTGAGGACAGGCATTAATGGAAAATTTCTGCAGAGCTTAGCATTATCTGTTGGATAGAGACATTCATTATCAACAGACGCAATTTGACAAGTATAATCTAACCGGTAAGTCAATTAACACTTACCTAAGCAAAATAATAAAGTATATTCCAGATTTGTTTATTATTATTTTTTGTATACTAGATGTGTGTGTGTGTGTGTGTGTGTGTGTGTGTGTTATTTTATTCACTGTGATGGCTTAAAGAGATACAAACGTACACAGATTGACCTCTCAGTTAGCCTATATATGTTGGGGTATAAAAACACTAAAACTACGGCATGTTGATGTTCAATATTTGAACTTAACAAACCTTATTTACACGTACATTATTATGAGTAACAGCAGCGTTTTAATGACTAAAACCTGGGGTCCCAACCCAACATAAGGGCTTCTACGTCTATGGCCAAAAAATTGGGGAAAACGTTGGATTTCGTGTGTGAAGAGCACGTCATCGTGCAACTTTTGGAGATCACAGACAGCACGTAGAAATTTTTCGACATGATCAACAGTTGCTGCGTGCGGTCTACAAATTCTCAAAAAAAGGAAAAAGTACAACACTGCGCTTGGGTGGCTACGGTGCGTGCGATGCACGTGGTTAAGACCCATGATACACGTACTTATTTCTTGCTCACTACGTTCTCACTCCTCACTTCCACGCGCCCACCGTGTGGATCGCACGGGTTTCGTGCATGTTGTGCGAGTAGTGGTCACTCTATGCGCAAGGACCGTGAGTTTTAAAGGAGGGGCATGAACGAAAAAGCGTTATTTCTGCCTCTGATGTCAAGTTTTAAAAATGCCTAAAAAGACAACAAAGAGCAAGAGGGGGAGAAAGGGATCGGGGACAAGTCAGGAATCTTTGAACACTGCTGCGGATATAATAATCTCCTCAAACATGCACTGTTTTATACCCTCCCAAATAAAAGAACATCTCAATACGCAAGACTCGCGTGCACAGGACGAGCAACAACCGTAGGAAGTCAACAAGACTACCCTACGTCCATTTGCGTTACTCCTTGTGCGCATAACGTACGTAGTGCACGATGCTTGTACTTTGCATTCACGGGGCGCGCGGAATACGTGCGAAAGCCCGTCAGGCGCAATAGGCACTTCTGGCGTGCGGAGGCTGTGCTTCTCACGTACTTTCGACGCACTTTCTCCTTGCGCACTCATTGCAACCACCAATTACTAGATTCCTTCCCTGCAATCTAGCTACGGCCCAGCCAGACGAGAGGAACCTAAGAAAGTAAGACCTGAAAATCGTGCGTGGATTTGGGACCCAGGCTTAATGCATGTAAAGAGTGCTCAGAACTGTGACCACGCAAGCAAAAGGTGTCATACACACACTGCATACATAACCATATTTACACTATTTTTGCCGTGTATTCCTTTTCTTGTAGAATATAATACAACTCAACATGGACAAATCTTGTCGCACGTTATCATAACGAGGTATCGTTTTTTAAATACATGTACATTTATCATTTTTCGTTTCATTTTACTTAATGATTCGCTCAGTTACGATTATGCCCGGCTTTCATACATAGGGGCATGACTTAACTAAGGCGTCAGCACATCCTATAGCAAAACATCAGGCCTGTCGCACACTCTTTCGCAAATTTGCTGCAAATTTGCAAGAGCGTGAATACTTATTCTTAGCAATATAAATAATTTGCCGCAATATTGCTGCAAACCAAAAAATTGAGGCAACAAATTTTCAGTAGTTTGCTAGAAAATTTTTATTGCTACTTGTTGATGTATTACTACACTTCACATTTACATGCTCCAATTAATTGTTGCAAGTGTTACATTCGGTGTGCCTCACATAATTGTATTTGCTACGTTGTGAAATCAGTTTTTAATATACTTTACATGTAAGTTTTATGCCTATCTATTTTAACATATTTATTTATTTTTTTTTATTATTTATTGCGGTTCAAGTACATTTTTTACAATGACTATGACCTAACAGTATACATAATATAATCATATAACTAAAATTACAATAGTAAATTACAATATTGTTTATACAATAACTGTGATCAGATTTTACAATTGCAGTATACGCTCGTTACTNTTAATTATAATTAATTTTCAGATTTTAAAAATATAATTTGGATAAAGATACCACAACAGCTCATCTTTAAGAAAACAAAATGACGACAGTACGCCCTGAAACCACGCAAGATATTGAGTCAATTCCTGGACGTCACAATAACCAGGCAATACTGCAAGTTATAAACGAAAAAATATTAGAAAGGACAGACAGGGTAATTACGGCAATTGAGAATCATGAGATTTTTTAACATGGCATTAACATAATATTGTGGTGTAAGGCATGTTTAAATATGAAATCAATATGTTTTAGGTTGAAAATGGTTGTGGTTTAAGGCTTTCAAGATTCATTGGTCCGATCGTGAAAGAAACTTAAATAGCTTTAAATTAGGGGACTTACTAGTCCGAGGGTCAAATATGGCGACCCATTACAAAGCTTGTCGTCCAATCCACTACCTCAGGGAAGTATTCAAGTGGGTCGGCCATATTTGACCCTCGGACTAGTTAGTCCCCTATTCTGAATGGGGCCTCAGCCACTGAATCTCTTGGACAACTCTATGGTTTGTCTTCTTTTGGCATTGATGGTAAAAAAGTGAATCGTTTCAAAGTGACTAACCGTGCTATTGCCGTAACACATATGATAAAGGCGAAACTAGTGTTTCATGTGATCAAAGGCGAAACTAGTGTTTCATGTTAGAATCACCAATATAAGTTGCCCATATTGACGAGCTTCAATTACTAACATGCTTTTGAAGGCACCATTAGATTTTTTTATTTGAATGACAATCGTATCTCTATTCCATCAGATTAATTGACTTGGTTATGGAAATGTAAATGTATACGTGGATTAAAGCAAAGAATATGAAACACATTCCTTTTTGGTTAAATTTGGGCTGGTGTCATCTGCAGTAATCAAACATACACATTAATATTCATATTATATTATAAATATTGCAGCGTCCCTTCTATATTGTCAATTTGAATGACATCGTTAACAAGCACAAGCACTGGGTGGAACTGATGCCACGTGTCAAACCCTTCTACGCTGTGAAATGTAACAACACTGAGCCTGTCGTGAAGACCATTGCGGCACTTGGAGCGGGTTTTGACTGCTCCAATAGCGCTGAATTCCAGCAGGTTCTAACCCATGGGGTGGGAACAGATCGGATTATATATGCCCATCCCTGCAAAGATCCCCAAGACATCAAACGTGCCTCAGAACAAGGAGTCGACCTTATGACCTTTGACAACGAGTATGAGTTAGTCAAGATAAAGAATCTCTATCCAGACGCAAGACTTGTGTTACGCATTCACCCACGAGTTGACAAGACTAGGTATACATTTGGCAATATGTATGGTTGTGCCCTCGACCAATGCAATGAACTAATTGTGAGGGCAAAAGAAATGAAACTGACGGTCGTGGGTGTCAGGTAGTTGTTATAGCATTCTATTATTTATAGCTTCTACCTTTACACTAAAAAATTTAACCCGGTACATATTTGATGAAGACGAACGTGTTTAATTCTTATTTAATTTGAACATCTTTATCCGCTTTTTTGTATAGGTGAATCTTGGTGGTAGGCACACTTTGTTTATAAATTATTACTCTTTTATCTTATTTAGAATTGCTACAGCTTGAAAATTTATCCGCGCTGCCACTTTGATAAACAAAGAGACTAAAATCAACTGTGTAAATTTCTATACTTGATGCGGTATTTCATTTGCTGTGCTTTGGTACCTCACAATATTAACAGAATACTTAACTTTTTCTTAAGTTTCCATATCGGTGACACCTGTTTCGATTCCATGGCCTACCAAAACACCATACGATTGTGCCATGAGATCTTTGATGAAGCCAAAGCCATTGGCTACAACTTCAGTTTACTGGACATTGGTGGAGGGTTCCCCGGTTATGCAGTCAAAGGAAAACCAACATTTGCTGATGTTGCCAAAGACATAAACACGGCTCTGGACGAATATTTCCCCAAGGAAGAAAATGTTGTTGTCATTGCTGAACCTGGAACATACTACGTGCAGTCGGCCTTCACCTTGGCACTTAGAGTTATCGGTAAACGAGTTTTACGCTCGGCAGCCTCGGACATGGTACGTGTATTTAAAACTGTTTATTCTTTATGTTTTTATACAATTTACATGTATATGTGTATGTACATGATGCATCTATCAATCTGTCTGTGTGTCTGTGGCTGCTTCATTTCATATAATATAATTTGAGTTCTCATTTTTCCTGCAACCCGAACAGGACCACGAACAGTCGTTCTTGTACTACCTCAATGACGGGATTCATGGGTCATTCTTTTTCACAGTGCTGGTTGACAAAGCGATTCCAGGTTTTCGTGTTATTAAGGTATGTAGTAAGTTTTTAGACAGTTAATAAACAGCGTTTATATGGGTTTTCACTTTTTTAGGTTTAAGTATGGTTTGATTGGGTAAATATTTAGTTAACAAATGTCAAAGGGCATGTATTAACATATCATCCTTGAACCCAAAGAGTACGTCTGAATAAAAAAGGATAGTCTTGCCAATGCTTAGACATAGCCACAAGAATCCAATTTCTTTTAATTTCAGAGGAATAATAATTGCAAATAATCAAAACTATCAGTTCTTATGTTCTTCTATTATGTTCAAGTATTGAAGTGGAAAGAGATTTGGTTATACACATTTCGCTTTTCAGATCTTTTATCTCGTTCATTCATGAGAGGTCATAAAGTCGCTCATTACATGTACCTCCGTATTTTTAAGGTTTTAGCATCTATGCTTTACTGATATAAATCTGTCGCCATGTAAGTTTTGGCATTCTTGGTTGTTTTAAACGTGATTTCAGATGATCCTGTACAAACAGCCATCAACGTCGTTTGTCGTCGCCGTGCACTTTTCATTGTTAACGCAATAAATAGATAAGCGTGTACATAACGTATTATTATCAAACTTATTCATAGTACCAAAGTACAGGCCAAGGTTGAATAGCGGCTTTATTGATCGATGATTTCCTTAAAGTAATGCAGTTTTTGTGAATGTTTCATTTATTCATTGATATTTTCAAAGTATTACCTTGAAGGCCCATGAACTTGAAAACGAGTGTTAATGCATTTTTGAATATTCTGTAGTACATATAATTAAATTTAATGGTAATTATGCTGTTCAGCATTATGTAATAGTGCATCAAAATTGACAGAAACCCTATTCATTGCACTATAATTATTATTAACACCATAAAGAAAAATCCATGATATCTATTGTATGCAAACTTACAAGAACGATTTCAAGGATAGGAATACATCTTGAATTTGAAATCCGGTCTGATGGGTTATTTTCTCCGTAAGTTATGAAATTTTCATTGCTTGTTTGTTTCAGGAAAATAAAAATTCTAATACCGCGTCTTACTTATGGAAGTAGATATTATTATTTCAGACGGTAAAGAATATACATTCTTAAACACTGCTAATTGTTTAAACATACAAAGCCTTGTAGGCAATTAGCAGGGTTTGGGGCTGGATATTTCTTAAATCATTAAAGATAGACATATTAATAAGGCTGAAGTTGCACAGAAACTCATTAGTAAAGAAGTTCATTATGACATTGAACATGTCCTTTGACTCATTTTCAAGGTCAGACTGGAAATTTGACAATGACAGTTTTGAAAAATTCCTTGTAGGGATTGGTAATTGGATTTCCAATTCATCTTAATTTTTTTCTTTATATTTGCTCAAATAATTATGTTGGGCTATAATAGTGGCTCTTTTTAAAAAACCATCTTCATTTTTTATCATCTTTTATGAATTTTTCATTCGTTACAAATGTTCAAGGTTTTAATGCTGCATGAATTTCTCCTAAACTTTTGTACATTTGACAGCTTTGCTGCCCTGTTCATCTTCGCCCTTTGCTATATATAGACTACAAAAGTCCTACAAAATTGCTCAGTGGCGATGGATATATAGATATAAACGAGTTAATTCACGACATACGTATAATCAATTGTGTAATATTGCAGGACCAAAAACAAATGCCGGTCTATCAATGCACCGTGTGGGGTCCAACACTCGACCCCATTGACTGCCTGGCAAACGACATCCAACTGCCCGAACTGGACATCGGAGACTGGTTGTACGTGCCTAACATGGGGGCGTACACTATCGTAGCAGTAACCTCCTTCAACGGAACAGCCCGACCGGATTTATTCTACCTTGCATCTGGTGAAATCCCCTCTGAAATTGGCGTTTAAGACTAGGCAGCTTAAATGATATTATCATATTTACATGGAAACAATAAGTTCACATTAGCAAAAATCGCTTATGGCTACATTCAAGTTTAACACTCAAACCATTCACTCAAATATTTTTTTCCTGCAGTTTTACATATTTGGAAGGCGCACATCTTTACAAATCATGTTAAAGATCCATGTGAAGTCATTTTTGCCACAAAAGCCAACCAAATGCCAGTATATAGTTTCAAATAGTATAGCTAAGAGAATTACCAAAGGACATTGTTTAATATTACCCAAAAAAAAAATGATATTTAAACAGATTTGTCTGCTAGATTTCTATGCTGTATATATGGGGCATAAAAGTAGGTCAGATAAGTAGGTTAAATTTCTGACCAAAAATTTAAAGAGAGGAGCAGTCTAAAGCTCTTTTCTGGATGATTGAGTGATTTATTCAGTTTATCCCTTGGCATGTTGAATTTATTTGAGTTGTACAAGAAACTAGTAAAAGTGGTTTATATGTGTAACAACTGTACTGGGAATCCACGCTCCATCGTTCATGTGTACCTTTAAAACGTGATTTTTTCCTAAATCGTTCTAATGCATATGGGTCCCTGTAGTTTGTATATACACACACTGGACAAAAGAAGTGTCACCCCCTAACTCAGAGTAATAAAAGTAGGCAGATCTTGGGTACTTATAATGCCTGGTCTACTTATAATGTGACAAATGAGTATAAAACCGCTATACCATGGAATTGTATTGTTTGTCTTGTACATGTACAGCAAATGTTATTCCTGTCTTCCTCCAATATGGCAAGATACAGGCAATTATCTAACGGCTATAGGTGCAAGTTATTAACCTGAAGAGGCGGAATATAAGCAATGTCAGAATATCGATACAATTGAATTGTTCAGTCAAAACCGTGCAGAGGGTCTGGNGGATAACAGGAGCATATCATTCCACAGTCATTTATCTCCCCCATAGTATTGGCTCAGTAGGGGTGACACTTCTTTTGTCCAGTGTGTGTATTATTTCCCCTCTTTGAAATCCTTTCTGTAACCTTGATTATAAAAGAATAATGATTAATATATGGAATTAATCAACGTTTTGTTTGTATTTATTTCATAAAGTGAACCTAAATTGTTACTGCAGGCATAACGAGCAACAATAATATTTGTATAGTGATTGCGGTAGATGTTCTCGCAAGATTGCAACGGCTGTATGCATTTTTTTTTACGTTTGTTTACCTACGCGGGAAATAAGTCCTGAGCATAGATGGCTTATTTTACTTATTATTTTTTTTTTACTTTGTGATTGTGTTTCGTTGAATTATTGTTGTCTTTTGGTTTTCATTTCGTTATACCAACCCAACATTTGCTGATGCTGCCCAAATCATTAACATGGCTCTGGAGGAATATTTTTGCCACATGGCTCTGGAGGAATATTTCCCCAAGGAAAAAAATGTTGTTGTCATTGCTGAACCTTGGCACTTACAGTAATCGGTAAACGAGTTTTACGTAACCTAGGTCAAGGTAGACGCATCACGTACCTAGGCAAAACATAGTTTTGAATTAATGCAGTGTGTGGCAACATTCAGTCAACGTCATGAATTAATTGTATCTAAAAAGCGGCTGTCAGATATTCATTCATTACAGTGCAGGCGAATATAAACGTACCTCTCAGATGTATCAGAGCATTTTTATACCAAGTTAAAGTAGCTAACAGGTAAGTCATTTAGCAGTTTAGCTCTGTAAAACAATACAGTTACTTTTGGACCCTGTATTTATTTGTATGTACTACTGCCTGCTACTTAAGCCACTGGTCTGACTGCAGCGGCCAGTAAGAATTCATGCAGACCAGTAAATTTCAGAATGTGTGAATTAAGTGGTTCGAGATGGCATGTACTGTAGATTATTTTTTTCGAAAAACTTTCCTAAAACATTTTGAGTGCTGCTTTCTTGCCACCTAACAAACAAAAACAACATCACATTCTCCCAAACAAGCCAAAAAAAAAAAAAAAAAAACCAGGAGACTGTATTCAACAATTGGCACTGTATGTTGGATGATGTCAATTTAAGGCTAATGGGAAGTAAGGTGGTCTTTTATATATATATATATATATATATATATATAATCTGACATGTATTGTTCTTGGTCAGCACAATGTGACAATCCCAAGTTCACAATCCCAAAACCATTTTAGATAGAGTAAAGATCCCCAGATTCCGAACAATTTTAATTTTCAATTGTATTTAATCGTTGTGATGTGTTGTTTGGGCTTAATATAAATTTCCACTGTTTTCCCATTCAGTCCACAGCGAGATTCCATTAAAGGGATAACAACTATTCGTATGATATCTATATGTCACAATAAGTACATTGTAAACAACTCATAAAAATATAATAAATTCTATTTTACCACTAAAACGGCATTTAACGCAATTATTCTGGAATTTGTGCTTGCCATCACATCACGTGACCTCCATCTGTAATACTCTCTTAAGAGAATATTACAACAAAAAAAAAGACATTATAGAAAAAAACATGGACTTAGTTAGAATATGTCAGAATGGATTCAGTAACCATAAGTGAGTATGGGAGAATTGTCCTTTGACTCAGAAAAATCCATTTTTTGGCCAAAATGAACAGTTATTATCCCTTTAAGTCTACGTAATGTAAAGATGTCTGTACAGCTCATTTAGGCTGCCACGAGTAATATGTAACAAGCCGCATATTCCTGATGCTTGAGCAAAGGGGCATCAGGCACTGCCAACCCGCACGCCACCAGCGCTGGCATGGCAAATTAACACGCAACACGAACATAAAATCGTGGAGAAAGCCTCATGAGATCATCCACCAGCGGTGGTGTGACAGGCAGAGA